GCAGTAAGATTACCAATAAGCACCAAGGGCCTATTTGAAGTTTGCACTCATGATTTCCAAATGAGACTAGCCAGTTATGATAAGTGTTTTCCTCCAGCCATGTTCATCCTTCCTGGTACTGGCACAGCATCAACTGAAAAATGGATCTGATCTGACCTTATATCCATGTAGGATACTGTCACATGGATACAATATAGAAAGACAGGAGAGGACAGGAGAGTTGAGGGAAAACACAAGGGGTGCTTTTAATGATGGATTATAGAATCAACTTTGAGTAAGGAATGGCCAAGACAAGATTAAATGCTTTTCTAATGAGAAGCTGGTAAGATCACTGCATTATGCATTCCATTAGGAAGGAAGAATTTTTGAGGTTGGATTACTGAGGGAATGAGCTGGAAATTAAGGTGCTGATGGTTGCAGAGTAGGGTATCTGAGGTTGAAATTATGGAGAAGTATCTGGTAATGACAATGTTTAGGTTACGGGGCTGAGACCGGGTAGCTAAGGTAGAACAGAAGATACAATCATTAGAGGAGCTTTCAAGGTAGTGAAGGCTGGAAGAATCGTCCGAGAAAATATTGAAATCAGGAAGAATTATGACAGTAATGACAGTAAGTCCGTTGTTAAAATATTCAAGAAATAAGGAGGAGTGACTGAGGGATCTGTGGATGATTGTACCCAAAATATGCATTGAGTGAGAAAAAGACAGTGATTTGCAACTTATGACAATGACATCCTTCTAATCTCTAGACCCAGTGTTTCTTGGTAACTACTATAAATTTAGAGCTGCTAATTAAAAAAAAATATATTTATGCACTAATTATTTAGAAATGACACGTGTTTTATAATTTTATATATGCAGGTTTATGTCTATTTTATGTCTGCTTATTTTATTTACCAGGCATGTACATAGTGGTTACTCTGTGCTAGGTACTCGTCTACATACTTTACAAGATTAACTCATTTGATCAATATTATAAAATTCTTATAAAGTAGGCATTAATATCATCACATTCTCAATACTGGGAAACTGAAGCAGGGAGAGATTAAGCAACTTTTCCAGTACCACACACGTAGGTTATGGTGGGGGCAAGATCTAAACTGAGGCGATATGGTTCCAGAGCTCCTGGTCTTACTATGTTTGCTCTGAAACCATGAGAAATCCTTCTCCATCCTTAAGAGTTTTTGATTTTATCGGCCAAGCACTTCAGGGAAGTGAGCCTCGGAAATCTTTTCACTGTGAGATGGGAGTTACCTTATATAAATGACACCTCTGTCTTTACATACATAGTTTATACGCCCAGTTCAAGATGTACTTCTAATTGTCTACTTCCCCAAAGTAAACACGACCAAAATGGAAGTACTGAGTAGTCTACTAAGCTAGTCAATTTTGTTCCTTCTTCAGGCCCAAGTCTTTCTTTCATTAGTTAAAGGCATTGTGGCTGACTCTGTTGTGTAACACAGGAAACTGAAAACATTTTCATTCCTCCTTGACTCTCTGGACTCTTTACCAGCAAGCACTCTTTACCAGCAAATACTGTCATTTCCAAAAGGATCTGATTAAAAGAAGAAAGGAACGTGTCATGTTAGAAAAAGAATAACAGTCAAAGGTGGGTATGAGTGTAGAATCCATAATCAAAAATATAACAAGGAAGAATTTGCCTAATTGGCAAAAAGACGGATAAAAGCTAAGACTACATTATATAAACATAACGTTGAGCACACTGAGTGAAATAACCTTACTGGAGACAGCTCTTGCTGGAAAGAGTTTCAACAAAGTTTGAATCACACGAGCACTTTGGTCCAGTTTTCCCTGAATAACATATCCCTTCCACACAATATTTGCTATATAATGAGAAAATACACATAAACAGTAATGAGAGACAGAACAACAAGCATTAAAGTGATCTCCATCTCTACTGACGATTTTGGAAAAAATCGGGAGAGGTTTGGACAGTGAACCAAACATAACGCCACCAGAGGATGACGTATTTCAAATTTCTTGTCTCTCCATCTCCACTCATGCCCTTCCTGTCCTTTGCCAGGAGTACTTTCTATCTGGCCAACTGCGGTTCTTGCCTGTTTCCGCTTGTGCCGCTTCCAGCCATTCTTCATAGAATAGGAACATAGAGAAAAGTTTTCAACAGCCACTTGAGATGATGCCACTTCTGTATCTGGAAGCTTAATACCTTCCCAATACACTTAACGTGCATACTAAGTCCTCACTATGACTCATGAGACCATTCACGACTTATTTCCCCCTGGTTTTCTCCTGGCTCATACTGCGCCACTTAGAGAGGCTTCCCTTCTATTCCGCATACATGCTCACTCTTCTCCCCTGCCTCAGCACTTTTTCCCACTTCATCTCAGATCCACACTTTCCCTAGTCCCCATGTCAAAGTGCCAGGTTCTTTGCACTAATCAGATGTCAGCTTTCATTCCACCTCTTCAGAAAACACTTAACTGTCTACCCAACCAAAAGCAGGCTCCCTGCTCCTTTACTCTCATTCTGGGCATTTGGATTGCTTCCTTCAGAGAATCTGTTGACATTAAAATTAGGCATTTGTGCAATATTATGTTAATTCATTTACTTTCCATCTTCTCTACTAAACTATACCCACCATGAAGATAGATATTTATCATGTTTATTTACTTCCCTACTTAACATCTGTTACAAAATGTTTAATAATATATAATGAAATATTCTAATAAGTAATTAAGAAATCCTAAAAATGTTTCTCTAAAAATTACGTAATTGTATGTATATTAGTTTCTTTAATAACCACATAACAAAATAATGTAAAGATATGTATAATTAGGAAATCCTTCCCTTCCTCCTTTCTTCTTTCCAGTATGGTCTACCAACTTGTGAGTTATTTGAATGATGATTATCCTTTATTTTAGAAATAACTAAAATTTGGGGATTATTTTTTTTAGTTTTTATAAATTTATTTTGATAGAGAGTGCACACGTGCATGCAAACCGAGGAGAGGCAGACAGAGAGAATCCCAAGCAGGCTCCACACTCTCAGCACAGAGCCCGATGTGGGGCTCAAATCCATGAACCATGCAATCATGACCTGAGCCAAAACCAAGAATTGGACACTTAAGTGACTGAGCCACCCAGGAACCCCTAAAATCTTGGGGGTTTTTATTTGGATACCAAACTTTTAGAATTTAAAAAGCCAACCATTTTATACCAACAAAATCAAATCATGGGATCTCAAAGGATCCCCAAGTATATCAGACATTTGGACAATTTTGTCTCTAATTGTTTTTTTTCAGATTCTGGCATCGAAAAACAAATGAGTTAATTTTAACCCAAGAAAGAACATCACACCCCATTTTGTGTGTAGCCATTTCTATAATGCATAGATTTACAGTTTCCAGTGCTCTCTGGAGCCCTGAACTGGGCCCAATACTCAAGCTTGGCTTCCATACTTTTACTGTATTGTCTGACTTCTGTTCTGGATTGCATGATACCTTTCTTAAGAAACACAGATCACTTGCCCATAAGATCAGAGCATACACAGTGTGATACATTCCATGGAGAACCAAAGAGATGTAAAATATTCTAGGATGTGATGAAAACACGGATGGGACCTATGGAATTTTTGTTATGAAGCAGGCTAATGTGTTTATACCTCTCTTATAAGGCATATCTGTGGTGTATGTTATAGCAGACATAAGGTCTTAAACAAGGACATTTTAAGACTAACTTGAGATATTTCAAAAATTACACTTCTCCAATTTGCAAAAACCTTGAGGTTTCAGTAATACTGTTGTGTGTATATGTATGTGTGTGTGTGTATATGTGTGTATGTATGTGTGTGTGTGTGTGTGTGTGTGTGTGTGTGTGTGTATGCTATCATTTTCCCTCTTGCTCTAAATTGGTGTTGTTCTTTCCATTCATCCATTAGAAACATTCAACAAATGCCTTTCATACTGGCCTTGCAGGAAAACATAAATGGTATAATCTATTACCTAAATAATATTTTTTTTTCCTGAACATTCCTTCTAGAGCCGGCTTACTCCAGAGAAGAATGCAAGCTAGCTGACCCAGGGCTATCTTCGTCTGTGAGTTAATAGAACTGTTGAGCATTTGCCAGTGACAGTATTAGCTGGGTGACCTGCCTTGCCTTTTACTTTTCTAAATTCTTTACTTTTTCAAATTTAATTTTTGCCTTGTGGCATGATTTCTTTTCAACTTTGAAAGGTTACTGAGAAATAACGAAAGACTGGCTGTGTCTAATACACATAAGATGCAACCTCTTATTAACTTCAAAAAAGGTAGTGGTATACTGAAAAATAATCACTGCTTTAGGTCAAAATTTCATCTTATGAACAAGAAGTATTCGATATATAGTACTTGTGTATATAATATTTAATTTTCCAGAATGCAATCTCAAAATTAAAAGTAATATCTATAAAACACTCTGCTGCATAAAAATGAAGCACTCGGATATGCAGAGTGATTTTGTGTTTTATTTCCCCCTCTGAGCTATTCGTAACTATTTCCCAACTTTAGCTCATTTATTGAAATAAATGTAGTAAAGAAGCCAAACTTGCCTATCTTAATAATCTGAAGTGAAAATTATTTATCATATTTGTACATGCACAGAGACTACTCATTCATTTTATTTCTGTACCAAGTATACAAGTGTAAAGTATGTTCTGCTAATCCAATTACTATTACAAAGTTATGCACAAGAGCAAACATTCGATGAAAATCAGGCCTTAAAAACAGGACACTGTTGTTCAGTATGTTCAGTATTTAAGGTCATCTCAGTCAGGATCCCGATAAGATGCATATATACTATTTAACATATATACTATTAGAATGTTTTTTTATGCTAGACAAAGGCTAGTTTGAAGTAACCATGCTTTACGGCATCGACATACTCAGAGATGAAACTTTCAAAATGGGCAATGGTAAAGGAAGACATTAAGAAATCTTAATTAGATAAAAAGAGGCAAGCCGCAGCGAAAGAGACCGTACATACCTGTCGGCATACGTAATCCCACTGAGTGTTCAGTTCTCTGAGCTCTGTCTCAAGTCTGCAAGCAAACTCTGGCTCTGCTTCATTCTTTATCTTCTGTGCACCTTCATTGACACTGTTGAGACTGGGCTGAATTGTCTGAATATCATTGACTAAAAGCTAAGGAAATAATTCAATTTAAGCCAGCTGCAAAAATTACCACAACATACTAGAAATACAACATAGAGAGGAAACATATAATGAGGATTCAGGACACTGCATGTACATCCTTTCCTTTAAAACGTGATATACACCCACCTACAGATGTCTCAGCCTTACAAAAACTGTTCAGTGGTTTTGATGCTATGAATCAAGTACGGAATTATCTGTATTCTACTTAGATCAGATACAAAAGGAAATAAAATTATTATTCCTTGTTGGAAAAATGTGTGAAAATGATGGGCTTTAGACATCACTGTTTTTGAAATGATTTCGGTTTTCAAACTCAGGATATTGCTGCAACTGTTTATAGCATGATGGGTGTGAAGGTTATTTGTAAGCTGGATTTGTTTTTTGGTTTGTTTTTTAGCTTGGATTTGCAAAGCAAATTCTTTAAAGAGCTAGATTACTTTCATTCCACGACATGACAATGGCATAATGAATATCATTTCAAAAGTCTGTACTGTGTAATAATAGAGTACAGTGCAGCAGGTCTGAGTAGAGCAACACAGTATGACTCAAAATCTGCAATAAGACATAATAAACAGCTCAAAGGTTTCGTTGCCTTTACATTAAACTTTATTTTACACTAAAATAATCTTGTGAGTGTTGAGGAAAAGATCATGCTTTTCTCTTCCTCATTTATCCAACCCAGTTTCTCAACCTTGGGCACTACCATCAATTTAAACTGGCTAATTCTTTGTTGTGAGGGGCTGTTCGGGGATACACACATTGAGGGACACACACAGCACCCCAGGCCACTACACACCAGTAGCATCTATCCCACACCAAGCTGTGACAAAAATGTCTCTAGACATCGCTCAGTGTCCCCAAAGGGAGCAAAATAACTCTGGTTAAGGACCAGTGATATAACCAAATAATAACTTTCATATAAAAGACTTCATATGATAGGGGTCAGATAAAAAACTTACCCTGCACTGTTTCAGCTGTTTTTTCAGAATTTCTGAGTCCCCGAGGGCAGGCCACTCGTCCTTCAGGAAAACATCAACTTCAGCCATCCACTTCTTCAGAGTTTTGATGTGATTCTGGAATCAGAGACCCATTTTAAGCATTACTGGGGTGCCGATTTCTCTTAACACAATTCATCACAGTGATATTTATGAACACATGCCCAGGAACAATTCCCTTGTTTGAAGGATATCTCTAAGTAGCTCTTCAGGAAAAGAATATTTTTACTAAGACTGCATTTTTATGGTCCACAGTATGAGCACTGGTGTATGAAGTCTGCTATTGTTAAAAATAAAAAATTACTACCAAATGTGGTTTTATGATGTTACTCTTGAGAACATTAAATCATATCCCCCTCTAGAGAAATTTTAAGTTACAAAACAACTCATGATAATACTAACAATGTGCCCTTACAGTACATAAAACAAACTATGAACAATAAACTCAATGTAATGGTGTCTTTATAGCCTCCCTAAACCTGAACTTCCACAAATTGTTTTCTACAGTTGACAGTTTAAATAGTCCCTCTAGTTGGGAACTTTGCAGAACAAGATTTTGTCATCTTGCAAGAGAAAACTTCTGATTTCAATTTCTTATTTGCTTGACCAGGCTGAAGTAATGATCGGGTGAAAAATGTCATCTTTTATCATTTATAAATAGCCAAGTATCTCCCATTATTCTTTTTCATATATTGCTTTTTCCCCCCTCCTGCTTTTTTTGGCTACTTTTCAAGTGTATGATTTTCGAGCTCCTTTATTTTCCACACAATTCAAATATGCTGCCCAGATGTGCTATTTTCTCCCTTCTTAATTAAATTTCTGTTGAAAATATGTGCTTCACAGAAAGCTTCTCTTTCAATATGATTAATAATAATGCTTTTTAAAAGCATTTGACTAAATCTAAGAACTTCAGTTCTCAACATTATCATCTTGCTGATATCTCTGGAGTCTGGTTTTGCATTTCTTCCACATCACCACTGTCCTAGTTCAGATCTTATCACTGGCTCCTTGATTACTGCATTAGGTCTTTTTGGTATCTGCCTCAATCTTACCCTATGCTAATCCATTCTCCACTCTCCATGTGTCAGTGTTTTTCTTCTGTCCTCCTTCTTCTTATCACAGTGATGCTTTGAAAACAATGATATCTTTCCCCCCTCTAAAATAGCAGAAGTTCCAAATTATTATTACTTTTAATCCCACCCCTATTAGGTTGTAATTCATGTTTCAAAGCATGGCATCCAGGACCGCTCATTATCTACTCCTAGGTCATTTTTCTAATAGTATATTTTATTAATCTCCAAACATATTTTTGTCTCTTCAAAAGTGAACCTCTTCTGGCTAAGAGGATGTATCACTTCATTTTGTTAGGTACCCTTTTTCCCCCCTCTTTATCAGCTGACTAAATTCTACTTCTTCAAGGTGTAGCCCAAATAACCCATATTCCAATAACATTTCATAACCCCTTTGCCCGGTGTATGTTGGACTTCCTTTCTGTCTACTGTCATAATGTTTACCACACTGTTTAATTCACTTCCTACGTTGGCTGGAAAATGGCCTCCCAAGGTGTTCATGGCCCCATCCATGGAACCTGTGAATATGTTACCTTATATAGCAAAAAATACTTTGCAGATGAGATTAAGGATTTTGAAATGGGAAGATTATTCTGAGTTATCGAGCCAGGCACAATGTAATCACAAGGGTTCTTAGTAAGAGGGGGTTGGGGGCAAGAGAGCTAGAGAGAGAGGCTGTAAAATGCTCTACTGCTGAACTTGAAGAAAGAGGATGGGATTATCAGCCACGAAATCCATGTCATCTCCAGAAGCTAACAACAACAAGGAAACAGATTTTCTGCTAAAGCCTCTAGAAAAGACAGAGCCCTGCCTACGTCTTCATTTTATCCCACTGCAACTGATTTTGGACTTCTGACCTCTAGAGCTGTAAGATAACAAACTTGTGTTGTTTTAAGCTACTAATTTGTTACAACAGCAATAGGAAACTAACACATTTACCATTTCTCTTCACTAGAATATGAGCTCCTTGTTGGCGAGGACCATGTAATTATATTCTCTTCTACTTCTGATACTGGTAAAAGTGTGTGCGTGTGTGTGTGTGTGTACACATACGTTTACATGTAGAGACCTGTTCGTAAGTATATTGTGCTTTATAGAATGTTTTAGGATTGCTCATTTTTTTTGGTTCGTAAGCAGTAAAAACAAACAACTAACAGCTGAACTGAGACTTAAACCCAGAAGCATGTTGTCCCAATGCTTTCCAGCATGCCACGATGATGTCCAAGATTCATTCCAGCATTAATATTTTTCTTAGTAATTCGCCACATAAGAGAGGTATTACTTGGATCACTAAATATTTTAGATTTTAAATTGTAATTGTTGGTTTACTATTTTCAGCTTAGCTGATTAGTAGTATGGTGGCACCATTTAAACAACTTAAGTCAGTAGGAGCTGGTCTATGGCATGTAATAAGGTCAAATTTAGATACACAATTACAAGTAAAATATGCTGATAAAATGATATGACTATATTACATGGTAGATAATTGTTTTACCTATATTTTAAAGGACAACAAGACTAACGGAAAGACTAGTTTTGAAAATTATTAAGCTAAAAATATGTTTAAGTCCTATCGGTTTTGGGGAAAAATATAATTCTGAAGAAAATCTAAGAAACAGAATTCTTAATTATGGTTTTCTTAAACATGCAAAAAAAAAACCCCACTGATTTCACAAAATTGTGTGTCTTTTGATCTCATCACTGAATTTGAAGAAGTATGGAGGTTAAATGTCTGTTTGCCTTTAAATTTATAACACATCACTAGGGGAGAAACAAGCAAAGAAAAAAAATGAATACAAAAAGTCCAATCCTGACTTACCTGAATTTTTCGAAGTTTTGCCATTTGCTCCTCTAGCTTTTGGCAATGCTCAGACAGCTGAGAGGACAGCTTCTTCCAGCGGCCCTCAATCTCTTCAAATTCCGTCTGGTACTTCCGGCTAATATCAGATGGTGCTTTCCTTGACATCTCTTTCACAGTGGTGCTGAGATAGTTTAGGCCACTTTGTTGCTCTTGCAGGGAACTTTGTAAAGCCTCAAAAATTAAAAAAGGGAAAGTACATGTATACTAATTGAGGAATAATAACCAGTTTCATTGTACAGTTTCACTTGTAAGTTTCAGCTACATGTATTTGAAGTGAAAGCTATGTGGGGCACCTGGGTGGCTCAGTCAGTTAAGCGTGCCACTTTAGCTCAGGTCATGATCTTGCATTTGTGGGTTCAAGCCCACATCGGGCTCTGTGCTGATAGCTCAGAGCCTGGAGGCTGCTTTGGATTCTGTGTTTCCCTTTCTCTCTGCCCCTACCCTGTTTGTGCTCTCTCTCTGTCTCTCAAAAACAATAAAACAAAATGTTCAAAAAACAAACAAAATGAAAGCTATGTGATTGAAACACCTAAAAAATAGATGATGTGCTGCAATTTACAGAATAACTAGTAGTAATTTAAATTATACTGTTTATGGGGTGCCTGAGTGGCTCAGTCTGTTGAGCGTCCAACTTTGGCTCAGTCATGATCCCACAGTTCGTGAGTTTGAGACCCACATCAGGCTGTCTGAAGACAGCGCAGAGACAACTTTGGATCCTCTGACTCCCTCTCTCTCTCTGCCCCTCCCCTGCTCACAGTCTCTCTATCTCAAAAATAAACATTAAAAAAAAAGACAAACTAAATTCTACCGTTTATCATAAAAGTAATTTGCACATTAATATTTTATTTAAAAATCTATGCCTGTTTTTATGAACAACATCAAATATATCCAAAAGTGTATCTTAATGGACCAGAGTTTTAGCACACCTAATTTTATTGTATCTTCTGTATATGAGTACTGTATTTATGATACTGTTAGGGAGCTTCATTTAATTCTACTGGGCTTTTATTAAGACAATTTCTGACCTTTCTAGGTAAAAACCTAACTAAATCATATAGATACATGGTATAACAAAACTGACTAAGTTATCACTGGTCTACTGATACCAACTAACTATAGTTTCATATTTTTCACAATTTTTTGCAGGGATATAATGAAATTCTAGGAGAATTTTTGGGAGAATTTATAAAGTTGGTTTTACAATTGTTCTGTGTTACCTATGCAATTGCTTACAACAGGATGTCTATCTTTAGGTTTTCCCCACTCAATATTCACTTGTTACTTTCTGGTTATGAAATAATAAAAGCTCAAGATAAAACACGGAAAAAATACCCACTTACATATATGATTTTATGTAAACTTCCAGTGTTTCTATGTATACCTAAACACTGAATATGTTATTATATACACACATAAACAATCATCCCTTCTTTTACAGAAAGACTTATAATATCCCACAAATACATCAGTACATAACTTTTATAGTTGTATAATGTTTTATGCCTATTTTGTGGCATTTTATTTTTTTTACTCTGCTTTAATTTTACTTCATTAAATTCGATTTATTATTTAGACAATATCTAGCATGCATATAACTACATTTTGAGCTAGGCCCTTTTTGTGAGCATTTTGCCACATCATTAAGTACTTTTCAAAAACATAAAATTTAATGGCTTCCTGGTTCGTTTAACCATTTCCCATTATTAGCTCTACAAAGTAACTTCTAGCTTTCCACTCCTGTAAATTATGTCTCTGATCTACCTATCTATCCCCATCTATTTGATTCTTTAGTGTATTCTGATTACTGCCTACGATAAAGACTTCATGAAAACACTATTCACATGTATAACATCATGAATTATTTTGTATGTTATTAGCAAGTGGTGAAACATTTTTCTCAGCAAAATTTCAATTCAATTTGCATTCCCACCAGAAAGTGAGAAGGGAGCTCATTGCTGCTGGACCTGCACTTATTATATCATTTTTTTGCAACTTAGATGTGAAAAATGGTATTTCATTTTATAAACTAGTACTTCGTCCTTTCCAATTCGACTTACAACTTTCCATAGGTTTAATGGCTGTTTATGTTTTTTTGTGACTTCCTTATTAATGACTTTCTCCCATATTCAGACAAATTTTTTCCTCGGTCTCATCTTTCTTTAAAATCGCCTCCAGTATTGTTAGAGTATTTGCAATTGTGTCCAGTGATTTGTGTGCTTCTCTATCATATGTTTTAAAATATTTTACTTAAAAATTTCTCCAAAAATGACGCTTATTGAAATGTTTGGAACATTTTAACATATGTGGTATTTTGCTTTGTTGTAACATCTGATACAAACTTCTAACTACATCTTTTTGAGCTACTTAATACAATTTCTCAATAATATTTATAAATAATTTTTGTCTTCAACGTTTTTTTCAGAAGTTTACTCCCCTGCTCATCTGCCCACCATTTTGTATATAGTTAATCCATTCCTCTAATTGCTATATCTTTGTACTCTTTTTGAAGTTAGAGTTCTGTTAAGCCACATATTCTTTAAAGTGAATTTTTAAATCATTCCAAGTATTAGAAACAACAACATAATGAAGAAAAAAGAAGATCCAACAATATTAGGTTGCTTGGTGTGATAGTAGAGAAAACAGTCTAAACAGGGCAATATATACTGAGAAATTTACATAAAAGTTTTTAAAGAAATAATTATAAAATCACTTTCTTAAAAAAATTTAATTCTTGAAAAAGAACTCTTCGTATATAAGTCACATTTTAATTTTGTTCTTATTTCTCAAAATGGAGACATATCTCAGCTCATAAATATAATTAATGAATGCTTTCTTGTCCTAAAAAATAAAATGTGATTGGATATACAACATGGGCTTTTCAGAATTGGTAGGAAAAGTATTCTAAAATCTCTTACAAATTATCTTTTTCATTTCCCATATTAGTATTTTTTATTACTTGATATAAAGCTGCTAAAAATTTAGGTAATAAAACTCAAAAACTAATTATGATATTACAAAAGATTAGAGTTTAAAACTTATTTTATAACGACACTGATTTTACCACTGTTTGGGAATGTGAATGGAGTTATGAATCAGGAAGCAAGGGGTGGGGGGAATAATACCACAGCTTTTATAATCATCAAAATCAGTGTGTCTGAAAATACATACTAAACAATAAAGAATATACTTCATATGCAGACCATGACACTGTCTTCAAAGGTGGAATTTCTGTCTGAGGGAGAAAAGGCACAAATGCATAAAATATGACAGTTTTAAAGTCCTCATTTTTCCAACTGGTACACCATCATACTTGCCACAATTATTTTAATTCTATTATTTTAAGGTTACACCATTGTGAAAAGAAAAGTTACACCAATGTGACTGCTTGATAGATGACATCTGCACTATTTGCTTCAGACACTCAAACATTCACAGACCTGTAACTCTTCAAGTCTCTGCTCCATGATGTCATATTCAGTGACAGTAACCTGAGGTCTAGAGAGTTTGCTTTCTGACTGCTGGATCCACGTCAGGATGGTACTCATGGTCTCCTGATAGCGCATGGGTGGCAATGTGTCAAAAACTTTATCAAAAGGGAAAAGAAGAGAATCATTTCACTCTTTTAAACTTTGTCATCATGTTTTCCTAAGTTGTCAGCAAACTCAATCACATTGCTAATTACAAATATTACCAAGTTGTAAAAACTTGAAGATATAAATTAAAATGTGATTATGACATTGAAGATAAATTCCTACTACGTATCTCACATTTTGATAGAAAGTATACACACGTACACAGACACATTACAGTGAATCTTCATATCAGCCTTGCAAGTTCACAGGGTGAAAGCCATTTTCTTTTAAGGTAAGGAAATGGCCAAACAGAGAGGCTGCACAATTTGACCATGGTGCCAGAGAAGGTACTTGGAGGAGAAACCAAGCAGAGTACATGTATACCGACTTTGATAGCACACTACTCTTTTCGTGTGCTATCATTTACCTTTGGAGAAAACAGTGTCTTTATCCACAGAAGTTGATATTTTAAATTATATCCTGTCACTTCTTATTTTGCTAAAAAAAACCTCTGTGTACTTAGTATGTGTCAGAAACTCTAATACTCTCATTGTTACTATCATTCTTAATTCTTACCTGTGAGAAATGTGTCTTTAGTCTCATTTACAGTTGAGGAAACTGAGGCTACAAAAAAAGGTCAACTAATTTGCTCACACTCAAGAGCCTAGTAAGTGTAGAGCTTAGGATTTTAAACCAGGTTTATCTGGTTTCAAAGTCAAAACCACTACTCAACAGCACACTTTCCCTGGTATCTATTTATGTATAAATTAGGGAATGAAAAATATATTAAGGAAAGTGTAATTTACGGGTATGTATATGCACTTAAACCATAAGTGTGTGTGTATGTGTGTATATACACACATGTGTATATGTATATATATACACACATACACACACACACACATATATATACACATTTTACATAACTATAATCGTATAGTTAAATTGTACCTACATTAAAGGAGAGAAAATAAAAATTTTCAGATTTGTCAGATTATAAAAAAGTGATAAGGTAACATGTCTATGGTAGAAGTGTAAAACAGTTAATTTGTAAGTAGTTGTTGTAATATTGCATGTTGCCCCAAACTCAGTAAGTAAGCATCTGCCTATGTACAGATTGAGGGAGGGAAGGAAGAAGGAAGATGATAGATAGATAGATGCATAAATGCACAGATATACAGATACATAGATACGGTGAGCCATAAATTGAAAGAACCCAATGCTTTTCAGCACAGGCCAGCGTAAAATAAAAATCTTTCAAATCTAGAAAAGAGATACACACTGAAACATTCTAAATGATTAAAAATTTGATCAATTTTTACTCTATTAACCAATGTAATTCTAGCTATAACTTAGGGAATAATCATGACCTGATACATTTTCTTTCTGTTTAAACAAAATACACATTTAGGCAAAGTATGCATTAATTTGCATAATTCAATAAACAATTCACATTATATAAAATCTCCAGTTCCCTTTAAAATCATGAGAAACTAATAAAGATCCAGACCAGCATTACATGTAGACACTCTTTAGTGCATGCATGAAACATCTTATTCCATATCTGATTCAGAGTGTTTGACTGTATTTCCTCCTTTGCTATCTGGATCCTGAGTAAATGCTCTGGGTGTTTCACAGGTAGATTGCATTGGAGGAGCTGGAATTCAAAGAGGACCTACCAACTCCGTAGCTCCTGAACTAGCCACCTTAGTTCCTACGTGTAGGTTCATCACTCAGGAAATACTTGTGTCTGAAGAGCTGTAGTAATTGCCACCCAATGGGTCTGATATCACACTCAAGTCTGCCTTCTTTCTAAGGGAGGTCCTGATTATCTTCTCCCTTCTTCACCTTCCTTCTATATAATGAAGTGAACCCTGTTCATCTCTGAATTGTTGAGTTTTTTCTGTAAAACTGCTTCTCATCTGTATGCAGGTGCAAGACAAAAAGTCTTCTCAATGAGAGCTAAGCCATACTTCCACCCTATTCTGAGAGAAAGCAGAGGACTCGTAACATGATCAAGAAGTACCTCTGTATCTCCCATGTAAGTTATCTAGCACAAGCAAAAGCCCACACAGTTTAAGATCCTCCCTAGCCTTTCCATGTGTGTTTTCACTTCCTTTAAATCCAGCTCTGTGTTCAGTTTTTGAAAGTGCAAAACTGATTTATGAGGTTACATCATGGCATAAAACTTATCATTACTGTTTCTTTTTTTCTAGAATTCTCACCCATTGTTCATAGAAGGCCCTCTAGACCGTTCACCTCTCCAGACTCGCCTTTCATCACCCTCACCCCCCTGTGCTCCAGGGACACAAAACTTCTCTGATTCTGGACTTCACCTACTACCCCTAGTCTTATTAATCCCTACTGATCGTCTTGCTTCTTTGTTAAGCAGTTCATTCTCTAGGAAATCTTTGCTTACCTTCCCAGCTTGGTAAGTCTCCTTTAGTTTCAGAGACCTGGCCTAGGCCAGGTCAAGCACTCATCTCAAGCTATAATTATAAAAACACCAGCTTGATTTTGTGATTAATGGCTGTGATTTTTCCCAGTTTCCAAGTATAATGACAGCAAGAAGCATGTGGTTTTAGCTCAGCGATTGATCCCCAATGACTACTATGGTATTATAAAAGGAATCAGTATGTGTTGGGTGAGTAACTACAGGTTAGAAAGTGTAACCTTGAGCACACACACAAAAAGAATGCCTTTGCCAGGAACACAGGAGAAAACCAGTATTTGGTGAAGCCTAGAATCTGAACAAGAGGAGAAAGAATTTACCCAGAGAATTTAGACATTCTTCTCATTCCACCCACAGAACCTTCTCAACACTGAATAGCTTAAACTGACTTTATTCCTCATCTCCTTTCTCACTTCATGGTTTCTAGACAATAGGTAGACTTTCTTTAATTGCATTTTTTCTGGTATAATTCATTTGAAAATGTACCAATGTACAATGTACACACACGTTTTGGTTTTCTCCTGGAATTCTTTTGTTTTTTTTTTAACGTTTATTTATTTTTGAGACGGAGAGAGACAGAGCATGAATGGGGGAGGGTCAGAGAGAGGGGGACACAGAATCAGAAACAGGCTCCAGGCTCTGAGCTGTCAGCACAGAGCCCGACGGGGGGCTCAAACTCACGGACCGCGAAATCATGACCTGAACTGAAGTCGGCCACTTAACCGACTGAGCCACCCAGGTGCCCCATCCTGGAATTCTTTTGACAAACAACAAAATCATGTTCAAAACTGTATCACTTCGGAACAGAACAATAGATAAGGTCACAATTTTTATTATATCCTAATGAGGAATGTTTATATTTCTATGGAAATAGGACCACCACTGCATTAAAAAAAGCTTCTACCTCTCTCTGTGTACACATACATATGAATAAGAGATATATATGTATATATTTAATATTTGTGTATCATTTATTAATTCCTTAAACTATTTATTGAGTGTCCATTTCAGCCTTTGTGATATCCTTTAGGGATACAATAATTTAAAAAACAGAGTCCCTATATTCACTGCCTTCACAGTTTACTCATGCAGCCAGATAATACTCTAATATAGTTTTGATCAGATTGTAATTAATTTTATAAAAGAGACAAAAAGTGCTGTGACAGTAAACAATAAGAACATTACATTTACACTGGGAGCTCATAAAAATTAACTTTTGGGCAAAGATATGAAGGAGTAAGAATGAGCTGTGCTAGGGCTTCTGGGAAAATACACAGGGCTCTGAAGTAGGGAATATGGGATGGTTTTCAGGAAATGAAAGGTCAATATGACGTAGAGAGAAAATAAGCACGAATGCAGCTGTAACTGGAAGTAGGCAAAGCCCCCATTTTAAGCAGAGCCTTGTAAGTACCTTTTAACTAAGACCAAAAGCCAATCATTGAATGTATTATATGCAAAGGTGTGACACAGATTTTCTTTAAGAAAAATCTTTCTGGGGGCATCTGGGTGGCTCAGTTGGTCAAGCGTCCAACTCTGGATATCAGCTCAGGATCATGATGTCACAGTTCATGAGACTGAGCCCCTTGTTGGGGCTTGGGATTCTCTCTTTCCCTTCTGCCCCCGATCCCCACAAGTACACAAGTGCTCCCTCTCTCTCTCTCTCTCTCTCTCTCAAAAATAAAGAAATGAACATTAAACAATTTTTAAAAAAGATAATTCCTTCTGGCAGAACATAGCAAATAGATTTCTCACTGTCAACAATGGATAAAGTGAAGACAAATTAGTGGTCCAGGCAAGAAACCCTGGTAGCTTGGACGAACATGATGACCATTAATAAGAAAAGAAAGTTAGATGTGAGAATGATTTGGGAGATAAAAATGCATGGGGTGGGAGAATGAAGAGCAACAGGAGAGGAAGTGAACGAGGGACAAGGAACATCAAGGATGATTCTGAGGTTTCTGACTGTGTAGCTCCATAGATGTTGTTCTTGTCCCTGATACTGGAGGAGCCAAAGAGGAAACTGTTGTCAGGTGCAGAACTGCCCACCATGGGTTTATCTTCTTGGGACTCCAAGGGTTTGCAATACCTTAAGATACTTAACTGGAAAGGCAAGGGAATAGATGAGCATAAGAACCCAGCACTTAGTGGATAGGAGCGGACTGGAGATAAAACTTTTTTGTTTACAACATACAATTAAAGCCAAGGATACCTTTACTTATATAGTTTCCTTCTAGATGTAAAAAAGCATTTGTTATCAAGCATGATTTACCTAGTAGCTGAAACTGATTATAAGGTACACAAATTATCTCATTTAAGCCAGACTTACTTGAGAATACTAGTGAAGGATTCCTAATTCTGTTTCAGATTTAAAAGTAAGAAAAAAAAATCTGGTGCAAAGGTCAGCTGCACCCAAGGGCAAACTCAGTACAACCTGTTCTACCTATGTGTCAGTGAGATATTTGTGGATGCTGCCCTAGGGACCCCAAAGTAAAAGTAGACCTAGTCCTGTTCCATCTAGGGAAGTTCACTGTCTTCTTTTTATGTAGAAAGAGAGATTAA